CCAAGTGGCAGCCCCTGGGCTGGGAAGGCTGCCAGACGACAGATCTGGGCACAGGCTTGGGGGAAGAGTAAGACTCTCCCAATGGCAACTGTTGGGCTGCTGTGTGCCAGGGTAAGGCCTGGCAGCTGCCAACCAGCTCTGTGGCTGCGATGTGACTCAAGCCTCTGGGCACAGCAGGGCAAAATTGTGAACCAGAGGTAGAGTCACAGCCAAGGGCCCAAAGACTGGGCAAAGGGGCCATTTCAGCTTTCCAGCCAAGGGCCCAAAGACTGGGCAAAGGGGCCATTTCAGCTTTCCAGCCAAGGGCCCAAAGACTGGGCAAAGGGGCCATTTCAGCTTTCCTCCCCTGCTTCTTTTTCTTTCATCCCAGAGAGGGGAGGCTAGGCCCCCACCACCCTGGAAGCAGCAGATGGATGATGAGGGACAAAAACCTGGTTAGGCCACTCTCCTTACTTGAGTACCTCTGGACAAGTCACTCCCTTCTTCTCTTTCTTTCTCTCTCAGTTTGGTTTGCTTAATGAAAAATAATACCTACTGGGGTCATTATGACAATCAAAATAAGTAACTGCTGAAAGCATCAATACAAATGAATGAAAGTGTACAAACTTGAAAGCACAATGCAGGTATGCGATGTTATGTGATTCAGGGGGGCTTCTTAGGATAAATGATGACAGGTTAGTGGTACCATGCAACAACCTGAAGACCCTGAAATCTAGTTCTGAATCCCAGCTCTGCCATTTAAATAACTGGATGACTTGGAGTAAGACCCTTGACACCTGAGTTTAGGTTTTCACTTTTTAAAATGGAATAACGATAGCTACCACCTAGGAATCTGACACTTATTTGCACAACCAATTGGAGCTTTGCCTACTGTACCAAGCTCAGCCTGTGCCCCTTAGGACACTGGACTTCTTTCAGTTCCTTGACCACCCTGAGGCCTTTCACCAGGAGGTCTTCACAAGTGCTATCTCTTTGCTTGGAGCAGGCCCCAGGCACCTCTGCTGTTCCACCAATTTATTGGGCTGGCTCCTTTCATCCTCCAGGACATAGCCTCCAGGTCACCTCTTCATTTTATTTATTTTTTTATCCTCACCTAAGAACATTTTTGCATTCATCTTCAGATAGAGCGGGAGGGAGAGATGGAGGAAAAGAAACAGTGATTTGAGAGAGACACATCGAGCAGTTGCCACCCACATGAGCCCAACCAAGACCAGTGACAAATTGCAACCGAAATATGTGCTCTTAGCGGGATCTGAACCCGGGACACTCCGGTCCGCAGGCGGATGCTCTAACCGCTGAGCAAACCCGGCCAGGGCCAGGGCCAGGTCACTTTCTTTTTTTTTTTGTAATCCTCACCCGAGGACATTTTTCCATTTTTTTGTTCAGATAGAGTGGGAGGGAGGGAGAGAGAGAAATATCAATGTGAAAGGGACACATCAAGTGGTTGCCACCCGCACGAGTTGGGGACAAACTGCAACCGAGGTACGTGCCCTTAGCAGGGACCGAACCTGGGTCTCTCTGGACCACAGGCCAACGCTCTAACCGCTGAGCGTCGACCCATGCACCAAAAGGTCGCCATTTTGATTCCTGGTCAGAGCACATGCCCAAGTTGTGCTGGGCCAAATTCCCAGTGGGGGGCAGGCAGGAGGCGGCCAATTCATGTTCTCTCTCATTAATGTTTCTATCTCTCTCTAAAATCAATAAAGAAAAAATAAAACAAAAATAAATAAATAAAGAGGCCTTCCCTGCCCAGCCAGTGTGGCTCAGTGGACTGAGCATCGTCCCATGGACTGAGAGGTTCCAGTTCTATTCCTGATCAGGGCACATGCCTGCGTTGTGGGCTCAATCCCATGAGGGGTGTGCAGGAGGCAGCCAATCAATGTTTCTCTCTCACATCGATGTTTTTCTCTCTGTCCCTTCTTTGCCTTAAAAAAAAAATCAATAAAAACATATTTTTTTTAAAAAAAAGGAACCTACACTGACCACCTGTCGTCTAATTCAAAGCACCCTTTGTTCTCATCCCAGTGTCAACCACATGTACAGTTATACATGTATGTGTTCACATATTTACTGCCTGGCTCCACTCCCACCTCACTGCAAGCTCCATTAAGGCAAGAAGGCACTAAAAACAAAACATGCCAACTACAGGAAAGAATAAAGTACTGACTCCCATATCTGGCATTTGGTGAACATTCAGCCAATGACTGAACGAAAAAGGTTTGAATTATTAAACTTGCAGGGGGAAATAAATCATAATTTGTGATATTTAAATCACCTCCCAGCCAGGTCTTTTTTTTTTTTTTTTATCATCCTTACCCGAGGACATTTTTCCATTTTTTGTTCAGGTAGAGTGGGAGGGAGAGAGAGGAAGAGAGAGAGAGAGAGAGAAACATCGATGTGAAAGGGACACATCGAGTGGTCGCCACCCGCACAACCAACCAGGGCCGGGGACAAACTGCAACAGAGGTACGTGCCCTTAGCGGGAACCGAACCCGGGTCTCTCTGGACCGCAGGCCGACGCTCTAACCGCTGAGCCAAACTGGCCAGGGCCCAGCCAGGTCTTTAAGGCTGAATCTTTGAGGCTTCCTCTGAGGGTTCTTGTCCCCTTCCAAGGCTGCATGGTCATCTGTCAAACTAAGAAATAGTCATCCTTATCACCCCGGTTCTCCCCCCACTGAGGACACACACAATCCCACAATCCTGACATTTAACCCGTCTCATGCCCGCCACCAGCTGAAGGGGGACAGTGCCCTGTTCCTTGGTGAGTGTCCCCTACCCTCTGAATGTGGCACACTGACCTACCCTGTGCCACTGCTCTCTGACCCGAAGGAGGATTGGAGACAGCCTTGGCAACCAGTGAATTTGGACAATAACTGTTTGATTCCTGGCAGATGCGTGTCCAGTTCCAAAAGAATTCTGTCAAACATCAATGACCATTTTCTCCTGCTCATCTCCAGGAGCCTCATTCTCCTGCCTCCTCATGACTGATTTCCTCTTCTCCCCGAAGCATCTCAGCCCTAGGTGAGAGGGGCTCCCGAGGGTCCCGAGCCTTCTTCTCTGGCTAGGATCCACGGCAAGGAATGTAGTGCACACCCACAGGGGTGATACTGCCCCTGCCTCCAGGCTACACTGATATTTACCCAGCTGGACCTCTTCAAACCCCCCAGTTTGAAGGCAGGGACTGGCTCTCATTCATGGCTGTCTCCCCAGTGCCTGGTACATGGTTTCTACACAGGAAGTGCTCAGTGTGTTTGTTAAAAAAGATAAACAGCACTGGCCAGTTTGGCTCAGCAGTTAGTGTGTCGGCATGTAGATGGAAGGGTCTTGGGTTCAATTCTGGTCAAGGCATGTACCTGGGTTGCAGTTCTGATCCAGCTGGGGTTGTATGGGAGGCAGCAAATCGATGTGTCTCTCTCGCATTGATGTGTCTCTGTCAAGTCCATGTCTCTCTCTCTCACCTTCCCACCCTGTCCTTTCCACTCTATCTAAAAATGGAAAAATATCCTTGAGTGAGGATTAACCAAAAAATGAACAAGTATTTGAATGGACAAATTTAAAAGCCCATGTCTCGCCCGGCCAGTGGTTGAGCATTGACCCATGCCCCAAGAGGTTGCCGGTTTGATTCCCGGTCAGGGCACAAGCTCAGGTTAAGGGTTCAATCCCCAGTGGGGGGTATGCGGGAGGCAGCCAATCGATGTTCTCTCTCATCAACGTTTCTTTTCTTTTTTTTATCCTCACCTGAGGGCATTTTTGCATTCATCTTCAGATAGAGCTGGAGGAAGGGAGAGAGGAAGAGAGAGAGAAACATTGATGTGAGAGAGACACATTGACTGGCTGCCACCCACACGAACCCAACCGAGGCCAGGGACAAACTGCAACTGAGGTAGGTGCCCTTAGTGGGAATCAAACCCGGGTCTCTCTGGACCACGGGCTGACGCTCTAACTGCAGAGCCAAAACGGCCAGGGCTCATCAATGTTTCTTTATCTCTCCCCCTCACCCTTTCTCCCTCTCTAAAATCAATAAAGAAAAAAATAAAAAATAAAAGCCCACCGTCTCTTAGTCAACCTCCCACCTCCAACCTCCATTTTGACTAAATATTTTCTTCTCATCTAAATCCTCTTACCATAACATGAGCCCAGGGCATTGTTCCATTCTCGGTGAAGATTACCACCTTCATGAGAACATTTCTCTGCTGCCATTTGAAAATAATAGAAATAGCCCTGGCTGGTTTTGCACAGTGGTTAGAGCATCGGCCCAAGGACAAAGAGTTGCAGGTTCAATTCCGGTCAAGGCACATACCTTGGTTGCAGTTTGGTCCCTGGCCCTGATTGGGGTCGTGCAGGAGGCAATCAGTCAATGTGTCTCTCTCACATCTATGTTTCTCTCTCTCCTACCTCCTCCCACTCTATCTGAAGATAAAAAAGTATCCTTGAGTGAGGATTAAAAAAGAGAAAGAAAGAAAGAAATACTCCTTTAGCCTTGGCCCAGTAGCTCAGTTGGTTAGTGTTGTCTCAATATGCCAAGTTGCAGGTTGGATTCCTGGTCAGGGCACGTACAAGAAGCGACCAATGAATGCATAAATAAGTGAAACAACAAATGGATGTTTCTCTCTCTCTCTAAAATCAATAAATAAAAATATTTTTAAATTTCAAAATAATTAATGGAGATGCTCCTTTTAGCAACCCTAAGAGATAGGGATGATCATGCCCATTTCACAGATAAGAACACTAAAACTAAGAGAGGTGAGGTCATTGGCCTAAGGTTCTAAGGGGATTCACACTTAAGTCTGTCTAAATACAGAATTTGCATTCATAGAGACTAAGGTATGCCATCACCCTCCTGCAAAGTTGAAGGTTTCAGAGAGGATAAAGGAAGGGTACTCTGGTGATCTCTCTTCCTCCCTCCCTCTTGATCCATTCCCACTTGAACGAGGTTGAGTGAACCCTGTAGACTCCTGCCCAGTGTACCCCAGAGAGGGGCTCAGACAGCCCATACTCACAGGGCTCCTCTTGTCCAGGCAAGGTGACCTGATGTTTCTTTACACCGTCGAACAGGAGCTCCGCACCACCTCTGCAGAGGGCCAGAGAAAGAGAGCCAGGTAAGCTCCTGTAAAGACCACGCTGAGACTGAAAATGAAGAGGGGGATGGCATGAGAAGCCCAAGAGATGCAGAGATCCAAGGTTCAAGAACACCTCGAGTACCAGTGACTGACTCTCAAATATAACTTCCTGATGTGGTAAAGAAGGATAAAAATCACTTTTACCAATAATCAAGTATCCAAATGTGCAGACTCTTGTTTTTACTCTGCTTTCTAAAGAGGCAGCTTAGCAGGTTCAGGTTTGGTGCTATTGTCCTCAAGATAGAGGCCAGCATCCACCTCTGCCTGACACCCCGACCTTGGGCATGTGACCCCATGTTCTCAAGCCTTAGTCTTTCCATCAATAAAAATGTTGAGAAGCCACCATGAGTCATGCTCAAGATTCTGTATGTGTTGAGCGGTTTTCTCTGGCCAGGTAAGAGTTTGAAATGTCCCCACTGTGCCAACCACTGCTGGCCTGGTGGGCAGACCACAGTGCTAGAGGGTAAGAGATTCTACCAGGCTAAGCAATTTACAAGACCATTCTTCATCTCATTTCATAGTCAGGGCATCCCAGGGAAGGAGAGAGGCAGGCAGACATTATTAACTCTATCCGATGGAGAAGCAGAGGCCTGAAGAAGTTAAGTGACTTGTCTAAGTTCACAGAGGCAGTGGTTGAACTAGGCTTTGAATTCTAACTGGTTTGTGCTTAGCCCAGCAGTCTTGAAAGAGAAAAAAAAACAAGATTTCCCAAAGGTCAGAAAGCCCCTTGAGGGCCGAGTTTGGTTCAATTTTGGACAAGGGAAGGTTGGTTCAGCAGAGATGTTTGGAGACAAGTCTAGAAGCTGAGACTTAGGATGTGGACACCAGGGCTCTCTCAGTGCCCCACATTGCTTCTCCCTCTGGGTCTCCTGATTCCATCTCAGACTTCCCATAGATCTTAACTGATAAGGCCTTAACGAACTTTTGACGGATGCGAGGCTTCCCACCCCACCACCCTTTCCCAATTTCAGAGAACAGAGATGTCCTGAGACGTTCTACTGGGAGGCAAAGGCAAGGCAAGCATTGTCATGGGGGAAACATGGGGCGACTGTCATCCAAACAAGGTCATGCTTTGTTGATGCAGAAATGTGGAGGGGGAGAGGAGGCCCATCTGTGGCCGCGCGCAGGGCCATTTCAGCTGCAAGCCTGCACAGAGCCTCCATTTATCCCCTTCCAAGAGTCTCCTTCTCTCTTGGGTGGGGGTTGGCACATGCAGCAGCTGGGGTGGGGGAGGGTCACAGGCAAGGGGCTCAGAAGTTGGGGGTCAGAGAAAAGGGGTGGGAGCTAGAGGCACTGGGTCCCAGGCAAACAATCAAGAATGGCCAAACCTGGTGGTGCCAGGCTCAGAGGCTGAGGTTGTTTTTCCCTTTACAAATGGATGAAGGGAGAACCACAGAGTGACCTGGCTCAGAGAGTGACCTGTCACCATTGGGTTCACTAGCTCACCAAGTGAGGGGTTTCTGCTGTCAGCACATCTAGAGGGAAATAACATGTATGCCCAGTCTCTGGAGTGATGCAGAGAGGCAAGCAAGGGTCCTGTTTTGGCTCCAGAAGAGAACCAAAGCCGGACTCTTTTATGTCTGACAGAGACTGCTCTTCAAAGTCAACTGAGGAATTACAACTTAAGACACCTCATCTTCCCTCCATTCCCCAATTCTTGGTGGGAATGTTTCTCGGTACCAGTAACTAGTATAGACATTCCTAAAATTGCCTGCACTTTTTCTAGTTTACCATCTTCTTATCTTACATTTTAAAAATTTTATTTACTTGCCCTCTACCTGTTGGAATTCAAGTTCTGCCTAAAACAGGGCCTGACACAAAGTAGGCACCCAAGTTGCCATGAGTAAAAATGCCCATTTTTCCTACTTCTTCTCTAACTTCAGTGGCATCCCATCCCTTTGCCAATAGCTCCTAGCCTCAGGAAGGAGAAAAAGAGAACAGGAGAAGGGATTCTCACATCTGCACCGCAGGAACAAAGCACATCTGTACTACATACTTTGAATCCTGTGTGACCTGAGAAAATGCTCTGCTAGGGACAGTTCAGAAGGCAAGACAAAGGATGGCAGAACTGATCACTGATAAGAGTGAGAAAGGTATGAATGGTCTTCTGGGGAGTCCATCAGAGCTGGTGGGGCTGGGAGGACCTCTGCTCAGGGGGAAGAGCCCAAGTCCTCACCCAGAATCAAGGATCAGGGTGGCACTCAGGGATGAAAGGGAGAGAATAATGGGCAAGGCAGCTTCTTTGCAAATCTGCTCAGGATCAGAATGAAGGGTGAAGGGAGTCTGCTAACAGATGTGGGAAATGAAAGAAAGGCCAGGAACAAAAACATGCATTGAGAAGAGAACAAAGAGAGAAAGGATCTGAGTTTGGTATGCATCTTGGGCATTCTTGCTTTCCTGAGAAGCTGTGATTCTCATGGGACATTGTGGTGGTGGATGGAGGTGTTAGGAGGTGGGTAAAAAGGTAAAGAAATGCTCTCCTGCCTTGCTGGGACTCACTGTTGCTCCTGGGGGTAAGAGAAACTGAGACTAGAGATGGTCAGGCCAGAAAAGGGGTAATTAAACTGGTCTGTAAGCTCTGAAGGGCAAAGACCATATCTTCCTCACATGAATTCCCTACTGCTGGCAGACAGAAGACATTTCTGATGATCAAATACAATGTCTGACTCAGTAAGATTTGAAGGTTAAGTTGGCGGTAGATAAACTTAACAGTGGCAGTCTGCAGTTTTTCCATTTTCAGTTCTGCTGAGGCCTGTCAAAGCAGCAGGGGTGCTTCAGACTCTCTAGGCTATAGGGAGTCTGGGCCAAGGGTCAGTGTAGCAAAACAGTCAGGAGTCCAAATCAGTATGATTCTAATTGGATCCATGGGGCCAGGCAGTATCATCAATTAAAATGCACTTAACATTCATGAGACTATCTCCTTCTAAGGAACAGAAACGCTGAACACTGGAGAACATGGAGAGTGTTCTATTTATCTTTGTATTCTCAGTGTCTGGCTCACTGCCTGGCACATGGTAGGCACTCAATAAATGACTAGTGAATGAACTACCCAATGAAGGGAAAGCATGAAAGAAACTGAGGGCATCCAATGTCAGAAAAGGCATTTAGGGACAGATTTTAGATTCCCATTCCTGACTTTCCCTTTTACATAAGCCTTGGCTTATCTTCACACACACGGACTCAGCTTCCACGTGGCTCTTGAAATTAAACCACCCATCTCTTAGGGTCTCAGTTTCTTTTCCTTCTAAACTCTGCCGTTTCTCTCAGCTCTGAAATCATATGCAAGGGATAGGAAATAGTGGCTTGAGGAGACATCTTTCCTGATCTGTGCTTCTTCAGGTATTGGTATGTGTGCTCCAATTCCTGCACTTGTCATCTGTACAGACTGTACTGTCAGGGTTAGTCTCCTCCATTGTGCTATTTAATCTCCACATCTCCACCTGACTGCAGAAGGCACTCAGCAAATTTACTCGATGTTCTAAAAGGGTCTCGCTCAGGTCTGTTTAATACCCCCAAATCTTGTGAAAGAGAAGAAAGGAGTCTCGTGTTGACCACACATCCCACAAGAGACAAGGCTTCAGCAACCGTGTAAGTGGACTTGCTTGCTGCCAAAGGAAAGAATGCAGGGGTGAAGGATAGTCCTTCTCGGTTCTAGGAGAGCAGGTGACAGACACAGGGGCCTGGTCCAAAACGGGACTGACAAAAAAAGGTAGGGAGATCGCCTGCTAACCATCATGCCTTTGAGTCCTGCAGGGCACAGGGCATCAAGGAGTGCAGGGAGCGCACCTCCACACCCGAGTGTGCGCCTCTATTCCCGGACTTACGGCCTCGTCGCCAAAGGAGACCAACCCTCTCAGACCCTCCGAGGCGGATGGCGTAACTCAAAGAAGGCGCCCGGGACCTCGGAGATTCGGTCATGACAGGCCCTAAGGTAGAGGGAGAGGAATTCCGGGCCCGAAGACTTCAATCCATCCCCACGGCGCCCCCAACTCTGTGACTCACCCGAACTCCACCTCCACTGACAAGGGCGCTGCCATGTTGAGGAAGCTGAAGTCGCAGGAAACTCCCTTCAACTTCCGGCGCTCGCGTCCCACTTCCGGTCGCCGAGGCCGGAAGAGGCGGTCCCCAGAGGGCTGTCCTCCTCAGCTATTGGACAAAGGCGCGGAGAGGGTGGAGGAGAGAAGTCCCGGGCGCCGCGGGGGTCTTTTGAGTTGGTCTCTGTGTTTTAGGGACCAGGCTCAGAGCGCCAGGGCGGGCAACGAGCTGCAAGAGCCACCGCGAGGCGGGGCGCGGCATCTTTGCGCAGTGACTGTGAGTCACGTTACTGTTTATCTCGGATTCGTTACAGATCTCCCCAGTCCGCACACCGGTTGGGCGAGCCCCTGCACCCTTCTGAGTCAATGACCCCAAATCTTTATTTCCAGCCCAGAAATCTCTCTCCTGAGCTATCGACTCGCTAACCAACCACCTCCTTCGCTGTCGAGTTGGATTTAACTCATCCTACAGATAGGTATTGCACGTCCTCTGTGGGCCAGGCGTCTTGGTGGGTACCGTGGTGAACGGGATGGACAAGGTTCCTGCCTTAGGGCATTCTCAGTCTAGTGGGGGAAACTGACTCTGATCAAATAAACATACCAGCCTTACTAATAAATATAAAAGCTCAAACGGAAAGAAGTGACCCAAAGTTGTTGGAGCTTAAAAAGAAACCGGGCTCGCCCCGCCGGTGTGACTCAGCGGTGAGTCAGCCTGGTCGCGGATTCCCCTCCGGTCCTACCCGGTTCAATTCCCGCCCCTGATACTCTTTCCAAGAGAAAACGGGATGGACTGGACTTGAGCTGAGCTCAAAAGCCTGAATAGAATTAACTAGGTCAGTGTCAGGGGAGGGAAACCCCTGGGAGCATTTCAGCGTGGAGAACAGGTGTAAAGGCTGTGGGTGGGAGAACATGCTCCATCACCAAGACCTGGAGGTGCAAATTGGGGAAGAGAGGACGTGGTAAAAGATGAGGCTAGAAAGGTGGGCAGGGAACAAAGCATTCCTTGTGAGCCAGGTAAGAATTCCAATCTCTATTCTAAGAGCAATGGGAGGCCTTTGAAAGGTTTTAAGAGGGGGTGACATTATTAAAAGTATGTTGTAAAGTACCTTTCCTGGCTGCAGTGTGGAGAGTGGGTTGGAGGGGAACAAGGAAGGAGATAGGGAGCCTGTTACAAAAGCCCTGGGCACAAATAGAGTGAAGTGGATGTCTCAGGGTATCTACACCACAACACTTCCAAAATTGTACTCACATTGGTAGAGTAGGGTGGCATAGCCTGCTGGTTAAGGGCAGAATGATGTAATGGTTAAAAGGTTGACGTTCAACTGCCAGCTTTATATTCAGGTCCCACTACTTCCTAGCTGTATCTTTGGGCAAGTCCCTAAACATCTCTGTGCCTCAGTTTCCTCATCTGTAAAATAGGGATAATAACAGCTGCTACTTCATAGGGTTGTAGTGAGGACTAAATGAGTTTTTGGCACAGCACCTCTTTTCCTAAAAAGGTTCCTGTGTCCCCCACCTCAAATGTACCACTGCCACCCACTGAAACACCCAAGCAAGAACCTTGGGCATTGTTCTTAATCCTCTCCTACATCCATTTGGTCACCATATTTGGATTTGTCTCCTTTCTAAGCTGATGTTCTTCCACATTCTTCCATCACCTCTCATCTGCACCTGCTTCTTCTCTGGAGGCTTGTCTACTACCTCTCTCTGTATGGCCTTGGCTTCATTGTACATTTCAACTCTATGGGCAGCCCTGTCCTCAAAGGAATCCTGTGGTAAATGGAGAGGCCCTACATTCACCATGCTGGGTAGGTCACTTCCCCTCTCTGGAACTCAGTTTCCCCAATCAGTAAGGAAGGTTTAGGACCGCCCAGCTGGAGTGGCTTAGTGGTTAAGCATCAGCCCATGCACCAGGAGGTCACTTGTTTCAATTCCCAGTCAGGGCACATGCCCAGGTTGTGGGTCAAATCCCCAGTGGGGAGGCATGCAGGAGGTGGCCCATCAGTCTCTCATTGGTGTTTCTATCTCCCTCTCCCTTCCTCTCTCTCTCAAATCAATAAAGGAAAAATTTTAAAAGATGTGATGTAAATAAAAAAGGTTTAGGACCAAATGATCTCTTAAGGTCCTTTCAGCAAAAATAATCTAAGATTCTTCCACTGCACTCAGCTCCCCCAGGGCAGAAACCTTGCCTGATTCATCTTTGATCCCTATCTCATGGTATTTGTACTGTACATTTTAGGGGTTTGGTAAGTGCTTGTTGAATGAATGAATGAACACATATCACTCCGCTGCTCAAAGTCATTTATTGGCATCTCTTTGCTAACAAGACAAGGGCCTTCCTAGAAATCATTCAAAGCCTGTAGAACCTCTACATCCAGCTTACCTCTGGGTTTAATATCCTCTGACCCTGAGAACTCCCACCTCCAGCACCAGAGAACTAGGGAGCATTTGAAGAGTCATCCATTTCACAAACATTCACTGAGCACCTATTAAGTGCCAGGCCCAGTGTTGGTGCTGGGAACACAATAGTGAACAAAACCAATGGGATCCCTGCCCTCCAGGGGCTGATGTTCTAGGAGACAGAGACAGAAAAATGTAAAACACCAATAACCAAAAAAAAAAAAAGCCACAGGGTGCAATCCATTTTATGAAGGGGGGACACAGTGTTGGGGGAGGACTCTTGTGGGAGCAGGAGGAGGCCCCCTAATCCAACCCTGGAAGTCACCTCTAAACCCAAATCCAAAGAAATTGTGGGAAGTGGAGATAGGGAGGGAGAAGGCACATGGGAAGGCCAGAGACATTCACTCCCTCCTAGGGGAGTGAAAATCCTTCCCACATCTCAACCAGCAGAGGGTTCCCCAATTTTCCCTTGCACAGCCCCAGAGATTGGGAATTAATTTCTGGGTAAATTAGCCCATTCTGTGAATGCCTGGGTCTCACTCTGCTCCTGAGCCTACCCCACTCAACCTTTTTCATTCAACAAGTACTTATTGAAAGCCCACTTTGCACCTGCCAGGTACTTTACATGCATTACCTGATTGATTCCTTACAGGGACTATTATCCCCATTTTCCAAATTAAAAAAAACAAACACTTTTTTTCCCCTTTAGTGATCTTAGAGAGAAAGGGAGAGTGGGAGAGAGATAGAAACATCAATTGGCCCTCTCCTGCATGCCCCTCACTGGGGATTTGGCCCACAACCTGGGTATATGCCCTGACTGGGAATCGAACCGGTGACCTCTTGGTCGATGCTCAGCCACTGAGCCACACTGGGCGGGCTCCAAATTTTTTTAAAAATTGATTTTAGAGAGAGGGAGAGAGAGACAAACATGTATTTGTTGTTCTACTTATTTATGCATTCATTGGTTGATTCTTGTATGCCCTGACCAAGGATCAAACCTGCAACCCTGGCATATCAGGACTCGCTCTAACCAACTGAGCTATGCAGTGAGGGCAATCCCCATTTTTCAAATGAGAAAACTGAGAACTGAGGCTCAGGACCAATGACTTGTTTATGGGACCCTCCCTCCCCCCAAATGTCAGGCCTCATCCCAGGCTGCTGTGCCTTCGGGATCCTTGCCTCTACTCACTGAACCTGTCTCTGGTTGGGCCCAGCTCACCCAAGTGCCTTCCTCTGGGACCCACGCAGAGCAGGGGCTTGGGCCCCATCCCCTGTCCCCTCCAGTAGGCCAGCCAGCCCGGGCGTTGGCCTCTATCCCCTCAGAAGCTGCTAGAGAGACAATGGCAGGGTCGGCGGGGGAAGCGAGGGCGCGGGTGCCCCCCTGCCCGCTGCCCTTTGTCTTCCCGCCGGCTCCCTTCGTGCGCCCCGGGAGGCTGGGAGGCGCCTCTCGCAGGCTTCCTCCTCCCATTCTTGTGCTAATTGGGTGTCAAGCTGAGATCAGTGAGAAAGAAATCCTCCCCGGCTCGGGTTAAACTGCCGCCAAAGACCAGGGCTGAGCCCAGAATATCATTAGGCCGGGAGGAAGCAAGGGCCTCCTCCTTGGGGGGAGGGGCCAGCCGCTCATTCAGGCTCCTTTGAAAGTCACTCGGTGGGCCCCCTCCCTTGCCGCGGCTTCAATAGGCCCCTCGGAGGTATTTAACCTTCTTCCCAGGAATTGAAAGTGATAGGCCAAGCAATGGCCTGGGCGGCCACTTGCCTGTCCCGAGGGCGGTAGGACCTCCGGGGACGCTGGAGGCAGGCCTCTTCCAGCCTCCCCGGCGCAGGTTGCAGATGGGAACATTGAGGCTCCTGGAAGGGGGCCTGCATCCCAGCGCCGCCGTTCACAGGCTCTGTAGTCTGTGGAGAGACTCTGCCTCTCTGAGCCTCATATTTCTCATCTGTGGATTGGAGATCAAAATAACAGCTGTTTTGTGTTATGGATTTAATGAAATAATGCACATGAATTGCTTTGCACAGCGCCTGGCACATAGGAAGTGCCCCCCGCGTTGTGGCTATTAGCAAGCCTAAGGAAGCATTTTGACTCCACACTAGGATCTCTAGTGTGGCTTCCAGTATCTGGAGGTGCGCAATTACAAGTCCCACTCACTTTTCAGGTCTTGCCTCAACTGTCCCCCACAGCCTCACTGCACTTCTATAATCTGCTCTTCTATAGGCTTGCTCTTCACTTCCAGGTCTTTACCTGTTGTTGCTCCTGTCTGGAACACACTTCCCCTCTGATTCTTGGAGCTCTTCCTTGAAAAGTCTCTCTGACCTGGACCCCCCCCCCCCCAAACACACACACACCCTGCCACCAGAGCACCAGGTTAAGTCAGTTAAACACACACTCTTTACTTTTTTTTTCATCCTCACCCAAGGACATTTTTGCATTCATCTTCAGATAGAGCAAGAGGGAGAGAGGGAGGAAGAGAGAGAGAAACATCAATGTGAGAGAGATACATTGACTGGCTGCCACCCACATGACCCCAACCGGGCCGGGACAAACTGTAACCCAGGTACGTGTCCTTAGCGGGAACCGAACCCCAGTCTCTCTGGACCGCGGGCTGAAGCTCTAATCACTG